TATATATATATATATATACACGATCGAAATCGGAGAGCTCGATTTCGAAGACTTGATCATACCCTGAGCTCAAAAGTTAAGGACAATAGGTCCTGAACTTAGGCTAAGAAGCCCAAAAGTTAAGGATAATAGGTCCTGAACTTAGACTAACAAGCTCAAAAGTTAAGGACACTTGGTCCTGAACTTACAGTTACAAGTTCAAAAGTTAAGGACATGTAGTCCTGAAGTCCTGAACTTAGAGTCCAAGTTCAAAAGTTAAGGACATGTAGTCCTGAAGTTAAGTTCAAAAGTTAAGGACATGAGCAGAAGGGTATTTTCGTCCGGGCAGTTAAAGTTTATTAAAGCAGTGGCTAAAGACTAAAGACATTTTAAACAATGGCTTAAAAGTAGATACATGTGTTATTAGTGGCTAACCGTGCACTTCCCCTTAAAAAGTTACCAACATTAGACTCAAGTTATTAGACTCAAGTCTAAAATTTACTCATATAATTTTATCACTCACAAAATATTAAACTGTAATCTAACGTTACAATAATTTACAAAACTTTTGACTGTGATCTAATGTTTTCTCGTAAGTTTTCTTTTTGTTTGCTAAAAAGGATATCTTTCGACTGTGATCTAAAAAGTCCATTCGTTGCAACAACAAAAAAAGACGATATATTATATAACTGATACAAAAAAGGGCAACCGACGAAATTTTGTCATTGATATTGTTTAACTCGAAAAATGTGAGTAACAATTAAAGATAATTTGTAGTTTTAAAGATATGTGATATATTCTAATACTAGTGGATATACAAGTAATATTAGGTTTAAGTAAGAAGAACTGATGAACCAAACCAGTGTTGTTAGAGCAATAAGGACCTCGAGCTCGATTATCTCAGGGGCCTCGAGGTGAGCTAAGAGCAATAAAATATGAACAATAAAATAAAGACAATAAAGCTGAAGAACAATTGTTGAGCACGGTAAACAAGAAAAGCAGAGAAGAATGTTCTATTGCAGAGAATGAGATCCTCCTTACAAATGATTGGGGTCCCCTTTATATAGGAGGGAAAAATCCTAGTATGGTACATTTCCACTTATGATAAAGAATTCTATTGGTATAGCTGTATAACAACCTAGTACAGGCTTATACTATTTTGTACAAATCTTATCCTATAATTAATGCCCTGATCCATGTGTCCTTGAGAAATTCCCTTTCTTTCTTGAGTGCCCTCGAAATTGTACTGCCCTCGAGGCAGATCATGATGGGTCCCCGATTTGCTTCTCGAGGTGCGCTCATCCGGGCCTGGCTTGATTCTTACTTCGAGCTTCCAGAACTCGGACTCAGAGTGTAATCCAGCCTTCGAAATCAAGCTCTCCGATTTCTACCGTATACAGATAGTCCCCACGTTTCTTAGAATGAAATAATATGAAACGATTTGGATTCCCGAAGTCCTTAGTGATGAAGTCATCCTCGTGATGCAAGCGTTCGAAGTGACCGAAACGTCCCGTCGGTCCACTTCCCCAAAAACATTGAATGCATGCTAGTATTGGTCGGCCACTAATGCCGCCGAACCGTCGTTGCCCTTCTATAAATATGAGGCGATTCCTCTAAGTAAAGAACTTTACTCTTTCTTCACCCCTTTCCCATCTTCATCTCTTTCTCCAATCACCCATTTCCTCCGCCTCTTTAAGCGCCGAAAAAACTCCAAGCTCTTGTCGGAAACTCTACATCCCTGTGCACCCGTATTATTTATCTTACAACCATGGCCAAAACTTCCAGGACGGTCCCCAAAAAGGATAGAGCATCATCTTCCTCTGCCTCTCGGCCGGCCAAACCGGTGGTGCCGCCCACGCTTGAGGAAATCACCCCCGGTAATTGCATTATTAAGAAAGACTTCAGTATCGAGAATCCTCCCGATGTCGCAGGTCGATGCGAGCACGTATCTCGATATATTAGCTTGATAACGGAGAAGCTTACCAAGGATGTAAAGAGGGAATGTCGATGAGGTTGAGGTTCAGATCCCGAGCCCCGATGAAAGCATTACTACCCACAAAGAGGGGTTTTTGAGTGTTTACACTTACCCCTTCACGCTGGGTCCCCTCGATGATCGACTTTTGCAAAACGTACAAAGTCACCCTCGGTCATATTCACCCTTCCTTTTGGCATATTGTGATCATGTTGCGGCACTTTTCTGAAAAGGCCAAGGGTTTGGAATTCACCCTCAGCCACCCGGTTCGATTGTATCGGCCCCAGTTATTTCGAGGACTCATCAAGCTGCAACGCCGAACAACGAAATCCTTCTTTGCCAGTACTGACGAAACCAAAGATCAGGGTTGGATGAGCCGGTTTGTTAGAGTAAGAACTTCGAACGTCATCCCCGAGGTTAAAATGCCGTTCCTGGAGAGGTGGAACTTTAACCGTAAGTGGAGTTCGTATTCCCGTATCTATTCATATTCTGCTTCTATTTTCCATAACGCTTCTATCTTTCTTTTGGCAGCTAATGCTTGGGCGCCCCCAGTGGTGCCCGACCTCGAGAATTGGGTCTGAAAGTTAGCTGCCACTTCTTCCTACGACGAGCGCAAGTGGCGTGAATTATCGAAGGGCCAGTGGGAGGCCAAGAACCACGGTAAGTGCCTTTCAACATTTTCCACACATTGGCGGCATTTTTACTTACTCACGCTTGCCCGTGCAGGCCTTGGCGATGCATCCGAGATGAGGCCGGCTTCGCCCGGGGAAAAAACCAAGCCTTCAAATCCGAAGTCTGAGAAGGACAACAAAAGAAAAAGGGTCTCGAAACTCGGAGACCCTCAAGACAAGAAAACCCCCGCTCGAAGGCTGCGGAAAAGATTTGCTCAAACGGGCGCAGACTCGGTCCATGACTCCCCGGATGATAGAGAAAATGATAATGAAGAGTCGGCGCTGGTGACTCGGACCAGGAAGCCACTCGAGGTCGCCAAGCCTTCCGAAACGGAAACCTCGTCCTGTGGTGAGGATGTCCCGAAGGAAGAAACGGGCAAGGCCCCTGTATCCCCGGAGGTCGAGATTATCCCTCCGCCTTCAATAACTATACCAGAGGGGGTAAATGCTGAGACCCCCAATGATAATGAGAATTCCCCTAGTGAAGAGCTCGGGCCCGCAACAACGACAACTTATTTTGAGGGGGCAATCGAAGAAGCCAACGCTATGCGTATGCCCGACCCAAATAAGGCCATCGAGGACGATTTTCAGGGTTGCTACATTGGGATTGAGGATGCCAACGACTTTAATGATGCATCCTCCATTTTTGAAGAGGCTCAACGTCTCCTTTCCCGGGTAAGGACTTGCCCTTTTTATCGTAAATTTTTCTTCCTTTCTTTTCTTTTGACTAATATGTCTCCATTCCACTTACAGGCCATTGTGAAGTTTAGGCTGAGTTGAGCCAATGTGAGACTGAGCTCCAGAAGGTTTCGGGTGAAGAGAAGGCCTTGAGGCTCCTCTGTAGCCAGAAGGAAGAGGAGTTTAAGGATCTCCGAACCGCATTGGCCAAAGCTCAAAAAGCGAGTCCGAGCTAGATAAGCAGGTAGCTGTGATTTTAACAAAGTTCGGCCTTCTTGGCCCTAATTCAGAGGCTAATACTTCGATATCTCAGCTGCAGAAAAAGCGAGATATGATTGGGCAGCTCCGGGGCGAGGTAGATCAAGTTCGGGCTGATTGTCATCAGTGGAAGAGAACATGGATCAACTTGCTGCCGACAAGGAAGCTGTTACGGCCCAACTGGCCTCGGCTGAAGCTCAGCTCCGAGGCGTTGAAGCAAAGGGTCTGGCTCAGGCCAGGAAAATCGAGCGGTTGGAGGCCGAGCTGGCTAAAGCCCGGGCCGAAGTTGCACAGGCTAAGGCTGAAGCTGTACAGGCCAAAGCCGAAGCTGAGAAGACGAAGGCTGCGGCCGATAAATCCATTGCTATATACTTGAGGGAAACTGTGGACGTTCAAGCTGAGTTGAAGGAGGCCTCCGACCGATGAAGACGGAGCAATGAATTGGCTAAGTGCCAAGCCCGGAGGGAGACTCTTGAAGAAATCCATGCCCGAGGGTTCAACCTTGCCGGGGAGATAGCTGAGGCAAAGGCGCGGGAAACCGATGCTAGGTTCCTCGTCTCCTTCGATGACGAGGATGTGGTAAGTGGCTCCGAGGAAGGCAAAGAAGATACTCCCGAAGGAGAGGAGACCCCTGAAGATAGAGCCACTGAAGATGAAGGTTCTGGAGACGACACTCCCGGGGGCGTGACCCCGAAAATAGATTAGGTTTCTTTTTTGAGAAAGGGCCCTTTGTGGGCGTTGTAAATGTTTTGTAACTTTCCCTTATGAATATAAAGTATCTTTTCGCTCTATCTTTGATTTGTGTTGAATTTTATTTTATCCCCGTTTGTGGAAAATTTCGATGATTCAAATGCTTTGCTCGAGTATCGGTTCAGATTCGTAATAAACCCTTAGGTTTTTATTGCTCAAGGTAATACCTCTTAAGGTTTTAGATGGTCCTCGATCTAAGCTTAAAATCAATTTGATGCGAGTTTGGAACAATGGGGCCTTTGAGTTCGAGTTGAGTGAGAACGAAGTCTCGAACTCTTATAAGCTTTTGGCCCCTTAAGCTCTTTTAAGCTGGCCTTAGGCTCTTATACATCGGCCCTTAGGCTCTTTTTAAGCTGGCTTTTAGGCTCTTATATACGGCCCTTAGGCTCTTTAAGTTGGGCCGTTTCGTCCTCTAAAATGGCTATACAATTTTTCCCTCATTTCGGCTAAAAGACTTAGTGGAATTTTAGTTATGCCTTAGCGTGTGTTTTTGCACCCGTTGGGTTTTTCGAAGGCCGGTATTATCGAAGCCTTTAGATTATTCGAGGGCTGAATTTATCGAAGCCCATAGATTTTTCGGGGGGCCGAATTTATCGAAGCCCGTTATATTTTGCTTTTGCCCCTAATTTAACCGGTTTTTTAATGTTTGAAGGCCTTTAATTTATAGCGGAAATCGGACATCTCCAAATCGCATTATTTTGGCCGTAGCCTTTATGTGACCGTAGTCTTTAGTATGGCCGTAGCCTTCGGGTTTGTCACCTGGACTTGTTTCCCGATAACTTTCCGAACTTGTTCGAAAAGTTAGTCCTCGAGTATATTGGCCTTGGCCTTTGTTTCGAGGGGGTGCCTCTTTGAGGTCTTATGAGTCTGAACTTTCGATGACTCGGATGTATTGACTGTCAGTGTCAGTCCCCGAGTATTTCGCGCTGCTTTGGCCCTTGAGCCGCTTCCCGTAGGATTGTAAGTGTAGAGCTCGTATGATTGCAAACCTCTTTGAGATACAAAGTGTTTTTGATATAACCAGAATGCTTCTTTATATAGTTGATACATGCGTACAAGTTTTGCCGTCGGGGCTCAACTATCCTATATAGACACGGTTCATTTGACCGTTTGGCGCATTACAAAGTTCTCCTATTGAGGCCCTCTTAGGCGTGAAGTATCTTTCTCCGAGGGTGATGCCCCCTATTATTAGAGGTTGATTGAAAAGAAGCCTTAAATACTTGTCGAATGTTCCTTAGGTAGCATATAGGTGTTGCCTCATTAAAACCTTGCCTGAAAAACCCACTTGGGATAAAATCCGGTCCACGGGAAAAAGAGTGCAGCGCATGCTTTAAAACCCAAGGTCTTCGAACTGAAAGGCGCCTCGATGTTTCCGATCGAACTTCTACAAGGAGTTAGCTTTAAATATAAACGGAAAAAGGGAGAAGTTCATACCTCAGCAGTAATATCGTTTTAGCAATGATACGTTCCAATTGTTTGGTAGTTGCTCGCCTTCCATTGTGCTGAGTTTGTAGGATCCTTTCCCTACGACTCCGAGGACACGGTACGGTCTTTCCCAATTGGGGCCTAGTTTCCCTTCGTTTGGGTCTCGAGTGTTGAGAGTGATTTTCTTTAGGACTAAGTCCCTGACCCCGAAATATCGAAGGTTCGTCCTTCTGTTGTAATATCTTTCGATCCTTTGTTTTTGCGCGGCCATTCAAATCAATGTGGCCTCACACTTTTCATCTAGTAGCTCGATAGAAGTGTTCATAGCTTCGTGATTTGAGTCATCGGTGGCATGCTGAAATCTGACGCTAGGTTCCCCGACTTCGACTGGAATCAATGCTTCGAACCCGTACACCAAAGAAAACGGGGTCTCCCCTGTGCTTGACTTTGACGTCGTTCGATATGCCCATAGCACCTCGGGCAATACTTCTCTCCATTTCCCTTTTGCATCATCTAACCTTTTCTTTAAGTTTTGAATGATGGTTTTGTTTGTGGACTCGGTCTGACCATTTGCACTTGGGTGGTATGATGCTGATAGAATCCTTTTGATTTATGGTCCTCAAGGAATTTTGTCACTTTGCTGCCGATGAACTGTTTCCCATTGTCACATGCTATTTCGGCTGGTATCCCGAACTGACATATGATGTGGTCCCATATGAAGTCGATGACTTCTTTTTCTCTTATCTTCTCGAAGGCTTGCGCTTCGACCCATTTTGAGAAGTAGTCAGTCATAAACAAAATAAATCTAGCTTTACCTGGTGCCGTCGGTAGGGGGCCGACGATGTCCATCCCCCATTACATGAATGGCCACGGGGATAGGACCGAATGGAGTTGTTCACCGGGTTGGTGGATCATTGGTGCAAATCTTTGGCATTTGTCACACTTTCAAACGAACTCCTTGGTATCCTTTTCCATGCTATCCCAATAATACCCCGCTCTGATCACCTTGCAAACCAGAGAGTCTGCACCAGAATGGTTGCCACAAGTGCCCTCGTGGATTTCTCGTAATACATAATCGGTGTTCCCAGGTCCCAAACACACCGCCAGCGGCCCATCGAAGGTTCTTCTGTACAACGTTCCTTTTCATCGAGTGAGAATCGGGCTGCTTTGGCTCGAAGTGCCATTGACTCTTTTGAGTCTGTGGGGAGCTTCCCATGCTTCAGATAGTCGATGTATTTATTCCTCTGATCCCATGTTAAACTTGTTGAATTAATTTCGGCATGGTCTTCTTCGACCACCGACCTTGATAGTTGGACGGCAGTCCCCGGGACGATATCATCCTCTTCCACCAAAGACCCCAAGTTTGCTAGTGCATCGGCCTCGCTATTCTATTCTCGAGGTACATGGTCCAGTGTCCATTCCTTGAAGCGGTGCAGTGTCACTTGAAGTTTGTCTAAGTACCTCTGCATTCGATCATCTCGGACCTCGAAGCTCCCATTTACTTGATTTACCACCAAAAGGGAGTCACATTTTGCCTCGATGACTTCTGCTCCAAGGCCCTTGGCTAGTTCGAGACCTGCAATCATAGCCTCATACTCGGCCTCATTGTTAGTTAATTTAGAAGTTTTGATAGATTTCCTAATGACACCGTCCGTAGGTGGTTTCAAGACGATACCGAGTCCGGACCCTTTCACATTCGAAGCACAGTCTGTAAAAAGGGTCCATACCCCCGATGACGTACCCGTTTTTAGCAAGAGTTCCTTTTCTACTTTGGGTACGAGGGTAGGTACGAAATCGGCCATGAAGTCTGCCAAAATTTGAGACTTGATAGCCATTCAAGGCTGGTATTCGATATCATACCCTCCAAGTTCGATGGCCCATTTGTCCAGCGTGCCCGATAATTCGAGCTTGTGCAAGATATTTCGAAGTGGATACGTGGTCAATACACATATAGGATGGCATTGAAAGTATGGTTTTAATTTCCTGGATGCACTTATTAATGCAAGAGCTACTTTTCCAAATGTGGGTACCTGGTTTCAGCATCTCCCAGGGTCCGACTCACATAATAGACAGGAAATTGTGTACCTTGCTCCTCTCGAACCAGCACGCCACTTACCGCCACCTCAGACACGGCTAAATACAAGTAGGGTGTTTCATCCTCCTTCGAAGTATGGAGCAGGGGTGGGCTCGAGAGATACTGTTTTAATTCTTCCAACGCTTGTTGGCACTCCGGAGTCCATGCGAAGTTGTTCTTCTTCTTGAGTAGGGAAAAGAAATGATGGCTCCGATCCGATGACCTTGAGATAAATCGGCCTAGGGCAGCTATCCGTCCGGTCAACCGCTGTACGACTTTCACATTGTTCACTACGGTGATTTCCTCGATGGCTTTAATTTTATCGGGGTTGATCTCGATACCCCTGTTCGACACCATGAAGCCCAAGAACTTGCCCGAGCCAACTCCAAAAGTGTATTTCTCGGGGTTGAGCTTCATGTTGCACTTTCTTAGGATATCGAACGTCACCTGCAAATAGGTCAAATGGTCCTCTGCGCGCAGGGACTTAACTAGCATGTCATCAATATAAACTTCCATGGATTTGACTATCTGATGTTCAAACATCTTATTAACTAGGCGTTGATATGTGGCTGCTGCATTTTTCAGCCCGAAGGGCATTACATTATAACAATACGTACCATACTTCGTGATGAACGAAGTCTTTTCTTGGTTCTCTGGGTTCATTTGAATTTGGTTGTACCCGGAGTAGGCATCGAGAAAAGTAAGGATCTCATGGTCGGTCGTAGAATC